TAGCCTTTTCACTAGTTATCGGCGGTTGGGGGCAATTATTTCACCGAACCAAACTATATCAGGAGATAAACTATATATTTCTGGACATAAGAGCGTATGAGTGATAGGATAACACCACATACATCCCTATCAGGGCATTCAGGGCCACATGGGTCGGCCCTGAAAAAGGGGACATAAGCTGATTGTTAAAAATTTAAAAAAAACAAATTCTACCCGCATAACAGGAACATAACTTCCACAAAACTAGGTAATATCCAGTTTAATACCTTAGTCGTGTTTCTGGCTGCAACCTGTGACAACACAAGCGCAAAATATTGTATATTCTAAGCCCTCCCTAGTGCAGCTACAAGCACACGTACTACATGAGCTGTCACTGTTGCATCCACATCTGATGAGCCACATGGCAGACTCGGGACCAAGTTTACCGGTTGTGATGTTTTCAATTTAGTGTCCTTCTCCCAGCAATACAGTTCCGGATCAAGTTCCGACGGATTCCGATCTTCCAGTGAACGCCACTCAATAGCTTAGCGATGTCGTATTTTTATGTTCACTGCAATCCATCATTCGTTGGAGCTAGACTACATGGTTTAGGTAGGGATGATGTCGATACATTTCCAGTTTTAGATGCCTAATACCTTCCAGCGTGTTTTAAGTCATCGATTTGCAAGAGCTCGGTCCAAAATCTCCAATCCAGGAAAGAACAACCGTTGACATTGGTCAAACTACGGAGAAACACATGTCAATTATCATTGAAATCCTGCCAGCTCATTCTCTTACTGGATGTGACACGGATACATGATGTTGCGTCGGGTGGAAATCAACATTTTTGAAAGTGGTTAGAGCTTGATTTTATTTTCTCTCACCCCACTCGTCAGAGTAATAGACACTTCAATAGAATCATTGCTCACACAGTTACACAGGCCACTGTATTTATGTAAGCTTTTTTTATGAACAGAGTTCTAAAAATCTATGTCTGAAACACGCTGGAGGGTGTGGACATCTAAAACTGGATTGTATCGTCATTATTCTCCAACCAAACCATGTAATCTTGCTCAACGAATGATACATTTGCAGAGAACGTAAAAAGAGCTCATCACCAAGCTATTGTGTGGCGTTCACTGGAAGATCGGAATCCATCGGAACTTGATCTGGAACAGTATTGCTGGGAGAAAGATACCAAATTGAAAACATTACAACCGGTAAACTTGCTTCAGAGTCTGCCATGTGGCTCATCAGATGTGGATGCAGTAGTGACAGTTCATGTAGTACGTGTGCTTGTAGCTGCACTAGGGATGGCTTAGAATATGCAATATTTTGTGCTTGTACTGTCAATCTGGGGTTTTGATTGACAGATTGGTCTGATAAAGTGGAGTAATAAAGACTTTGATTAGGACCAAAAATTTAAAATATTCAAAAGTAAGTTTTAAAATGCATTTTAAATACTGCGTATGTAGATAAAGCAAAGGTTGAAATACAAAGTCGCATACCTATTTTGGTATAAAATGGTCGACGGTTTGTCAAAAAAAACCTAACCTTCTTTTTTGACAAATATCAATTGTCCAGCGAGTTTCAAGTGTGAATAATATGTCCATGTCTTTTACCGTTCCAGTAATGATCTGGAGCATAAGTTATTGACAGTGAAGAACGTATGTTTTGTTTAAATTGATTTTTGTTCAATTGGACGTTGAGTGGTTGTTTAGTGGGATTCTCTTAAAGAATTCCCCACCCAAAGAGATGCTTGGAAGAAAGACATTTGGTTAAAGTTAGTTCTACAATATAGAGTCCTTAATTCACTTACTTTTAATGGGATTTTCTAAAAAAAGAACATTCCCACCCGAAAAGTTGCTGAGAAGAAAGGCATTTGGTTCAAGTCTGTTCTACAATATGGATTACTAATTGTACTTACATTTCGTATGTTACATTGTGATAGTGACTGTTGGTATGTTTCAAATGTCATATAAACACGCATGTATTCTCTATTTCTTTTTTTGATTCGGATTCGCGTATGTCGTCACGTTTCTCACGAACCGACGAATCTGATATATTAGTCCGGCAGACCTATGACTGAACCTGGAAATTGTATACAAAGTTTTTTTATGATTGATTTTAGTAGCCTAGGGTGTCCTCGTTCAGAATCTGCCGGGTGAACCCCGGTCACCCTTGAGCGTTTTGAGAAATTCAAGATGGCGTCCAAGACGGCCGCCACATCAAATAATCCCCTATAGCTCCCATAGTATTTATTCTAGGATGATAATTTTGGTGTCTAACCGTATGTTTCTGGGGTCAAGGAATACACTGAAATCATTTATTATGTTGTGGCGTGATTAGATGATATTAAAATCAAACATGCCAGACAATATGACCCTTTAACTCGTTATCGGCGGTTGGGGCGAATATTTCACCGAACCAAACTAAATCTAGAGACAAACTATATATTTCTGGATATAGGAGCGTATGAGTGATAGGATAACACCAAATACAGCCCTATCAGGGGCTCCGGGGCCACATGGGTCGGTCCTGAAAATGGAGACACAAGCTGATTGATGAACATTTAAAAAAAACTATTTCTAACCGCAAAACAGGAACATAACTTCCACAAAACTAGGTAATATCCAGTTTAATACTTTAGTCGGGATTATTTGATGTGGCGGCCGTCTTGGACGCCATCTTGAATTTCTCAAAACGCTCAAGGGTGACCGGGGTTCACCCGGCAGATTCTGAACGAGGACACCCTAGGCTACTAAAATCAATCATAAAAAAAACTTTGTATACAATTTCCAGGTTCAGTCATAGGTCTGCCGGACTAATATATCAGATTCGTCGGTTCGTGAGAAACGTGACGACATACGCGAATCCGAATCAAAAAAAGAAATAGAGAATACATGCGTGTTTATATGACATTTGAAACATACCAACAGTCACTATCACAATGTAACATACGAAATGTAAGTACAATTAGTAATCCATATTGTAGAACAGACTTGAACCAAATGCCTTTCTTCTCAACAACTTTTCGGGTGGGAATGTTCTTTTTTAGAAAATCCCATTAAAAGTAAGTGAATTAAGGACTCTATATTGTAGAACTAACTTTAACCAAATGTCTTTCTTCCAAATGTCTTTCTTAAGAGAATCCCACTAAACAACCACCCAACGTCCAATTGAACCAAAATCAATTTAAACAAAACATACGTTCTTCACTGTCAATAACTCATGCCCCAGATCATTACTGGAACGGTAAAAGACATGGACATATTATTCACACTTGAAACTCGCTGGACAATTGATATTTGTCAAAAAAGAAGGTTAGGTTTTTTTTGACAAACCGTCGACCATTTTATACCAAAATAGGTATGCGACTTTGTATTTCAACCTTTGCTTTATCTACATACGCAGTATTTAAAATGCATTTTAAAACTTACTTTTGAATATTTTAAATTTTTGGTCCTAATCAAAGTTTTTATTACTCCACTTTATCAGACCAATCTGTCAATCAAAACCCCAGATACAGAAAAATCCGCGAAATGCTTTGAACGGTTTTGGTTAATAAGATGTTTGATTGGCCGTCTTATCAAGTTCAAAGGTGCTAGTGTGCTGTCGTCACAGACAAAAAGTAGAACACACTTCGATGTTACCATGCGAATCAATGGAATTAACATTATTGTTTAAAGATTACATACATGCGTTATAGAATTCATCATTAAATCTCTAATAGAATTACCACTCCCAAAAAGAATGGTTCAATCCCGTTCAGTGCTTACAGAAATATCATGAATTGAAAATGTAACAAGGCACCATCATCTTTATTTGCCTTTAGCCAGATTGATGGGCCTGTTTTAAATTCGATTGAATCAAAGCTGGGTGATTACCTAGCGTTGGTAATTTGATTTGGTTTCTTAATTAAATGGTAAATAATCAATCTGAGCACATACTAGCGTGAATTAAGCCGTTAGAAATTTGATATTTCCTGAAAACTACAAATCACGTATCGTTACTTTAAATTACAATGTGTTTTTTTGATCTATAAACATATGTATTGCTATGACGTTGTTTTATTTTATATCTATGTTTTCTTTTAAATTTCACAGTACCACTAGTGCAACAACAACTATTCAAACAAGCCCAACAAGTGCAACGTCACAAACCAGTCCTACGTCGTTTGTGCCGAGCGAAACGTCACCAGTCAGCGTGACATCGCCGACTAGTATTACGTCACCTACAACTACTTCGTCACCCACCAGTATGACAAGTCCAACTTCCGTTACCAGCGCCACGTCAGCAACAAGTCCTACGTCACCTTCATTTTGTAAGTATTTAAGTACATTCGGTTTATCACTATATTGTCTGCGATATCACTTCGGTGGAAGCGGACGTTAAATAAAGCTATTTCACATACAATCACGTATATCTTAAATAGCTATGTTAGACCATGAACATTTTATGGTAACTTCCTGGCTAGGGAATTATTACAGACAACAAATCTGCTGTTACAAATATATTTATTTTAACCGTACTATAAGTCATTTTATATTTTCCAGATAAAACAGATTGTATATTATCTTGTGGTGTTACTCACACTGGTTATTTTCCTGACTGTTCTGATTGTACCAAATATTTCTACTGTTCTGGTGGATCTCAAACTGCTCTGGTATGTCCATCGGGTCTTCAATATAACTCAGCTTCTGGAATATGTGACTTTTCCTATAATGTCCTGTGTCAGTAAGTACATTATGGTTTTTTTTTTAAAAATCAGGCTGGTACTGAAATTTATGGAGTGTGTACTAACACCCCGTTTGCTTGAAAAGCAATTTATAAAAATATTTCTTACTCTCGGTAGCTGACTGTTCGTTAAATTCCCAGTCATCAAATCAGCTCTTCAACATAAACTGCAAATTTAATCTCTTCGGACTATTAGCGTAATGAATTATTCGACGAAATGGTTTTATTGCCACATGGCTTACTATTACGATAATTAATATCATGTTTTGTTTTTTCCCTTTAAGAACAACTATTACTATAACAACAACAGTAACAAGTCCAACAAGTGCAACGTCACAGACAAGCCCTACGTCATTTGTGCCGAGTGAAACGTCACCAGTTAGTGTGACATCACCAACTAGTATTACGTCACCCACAACTACTACCTCACCCACAAGTATGACAAGTCCAACTTCCGTCACAAGTGTCACGTCAGCAACAAGCCCTACGTCACCATCTTTCTGTAAGTTGCATTCTTTCAAAACATTTGTGCGTTTTTTAAAATCCAAATCTAGTACACATATTATAGACATTTTAAACACATACCGGCACTTTCTATATCATACCTGAACGAACAAAAGTACTGGCCATAGATAATCTAAACTGTACCGTACAATTATTTAATATTTGTTAGTTAAAGTAGCTAAGTCTCTAACTCAATATCATCCAAAATCTTCAATATTGAAAACACGATTTATTTGTCAAATTAAATCAACATTCATGTTGTGATCTTACCGGAAAAAGATGGGCTTTTGATATCCAATATTTAAGACAAAATAAACATTTTACCATTGGTACACGAATCGTGTACCATAATGCGCTTCAGCCCAAGTTGTATCAAGAGACTCGAGGGACGAGGCTAGACACATTGCACCAAATCAAACGGCCACAGATCACTAAACATTTGCCCATTGACTTTAATGTTAATTCTCGTCTCTTAGACCGTCTCTAACTTTTTCCCAAATTTTCGTTGGGTAGAACGCTTTCTACCACAGATGGAGCAACATGTGGCAACCTCTTGCCCAAAAGCACGTATGAGGTTCACCATGGAAAACTTGAGATACACAAGCTGGAAGTAGAGACAAGAAAACATGCAATTGCGGACCCCACATTTCAACCTAACCAACCTCTCAACTCTTGTATCCTTCCGCCTAAAATATTCACCAAAACCTGGTAAAAATGTATTTTCAAACCCTTTTCTTCGATTCTACACCAAAAAGTCAACAAAAATCGCCATGCAAAAGGGGCAAAAAGGGAAAGGGAGAGAAAGACTAAAAATAACTTTTGCCCTACAGAAAATTTGGTGAGCTGTGTCCAAACGGCGTATATAGACTGGAATAACCAGACGCTAGAAATTTGCACTCGCTTGAGACTGCTGGCTTATTTCGCCGAACATAACTGATTTGAAATTGGAGTAAAAACGGAAACCATTGAATGTAAATCAGTTTATATACATTCATATTACAGTATTATATGCGTTGCGACCCACTAATTTGTCAATCTCTAGGTCCCAAATGTTAGCGATTTAGCTCCTTTAAACTTTTTAAAAAGTATTTTAACATTTTAATATGACTGAATGGGTACATTAACCGTCGGTGTTGTGGTGTCAGTCTGTATTGTGAACACGATTTTCTTCCAGATAAAACAGATTGTATATTATCTTGTGGTGTTACTCACACTGGTTATTTTCCTGACTGTTCTGGTTGTACCAAATATTTCTACTGTTCTGGTGGAACTCAAACTGCTCTGGTATGTCCATCGGGTCTTCAATATAACTCAGCTTTGGGAATCTGTGATTTCTCAACCAATGTCATATGCCAGTAAGTAAAATTAAATATTTGCACCAGGGACCGGTCATCTTGTTGTTCTTGGGTCGACGCTCTTCTACAAAAACTAATTTTGATATGGCGTCACAAATCCACGATGGTGACGATGACGTACATAGACGGTTTCTGGTCTATAGTACTATCGTAACTGTGTCGAAGTTTACAAATGTTATCTTCAATTTTGGTTTACTGTGGCACAACATTGGCTTTGTCTATAAACGCATTGTAAATGAAATCTACAGTTTTATTTTTGATCGCAATCCACGTGGGCTTGGTCAATTAAAATTTATGGTTAGTTTGGTGAAAAAAGTTATTGTTTGACGAACACTGTTTTCCGACAAAAGTTAACCAGTGTGCGTCAGAAAACGGTGAAACGCAGAGGCCGCGCGTTCGAAAAGAAATCAATGGGTATGGTCAATATGACCTCCGGTCATCAACGCTAACAAACCATGACCTCGACTCTGACCTTGACTCCAAAACTTTCCATCGATATCGGGGCCTTTGCGCTTATGTGTGCCATGGCCATATTTCTTGCTGTATTATCATGGTCAATGTTCGAGGTGAAAGCAGAGACGATGCCCTTCAGAAAAGATAACTGGGTCAAAGTCGTGGGCCAAAAGTCGTTTTACAGAAAACTGAATTCGAACTTTTCGAAGTCAGTTTTTGGACATTTGACTTTGACTTACGGTCTTCACCCCAAACAAAATTTTAAAGGCCACCAACTTGGCTAGGACCACCGATCTTTACCTGGGTACTTTCACACACTGCTTAGATTATTAAAATAGTTATACAATCTATACAAGACTATAATCAACCACGAGAGGGTGGGTTAGGGTCAGATTTATACATTTTAAACAATTTTATCCTCAAATTCGTGTAGGTCGACATTTGAATGGCTTGACGTACAACGTAACTGGTCATGAATGTGTTTAGTTCCGACCATAGTTGAAGCCTGACTTGCCTTGTGGAAGATCTGGAACCAGGCCAAACAAGTTCTTCTCTAAGTTTTAAGTAATAATTATATCCATTCCTTTTTTTTATTCTAGAACAACATCGACCACAATGGTAACCACAATGAGTGCAACTAGCCCAACGAGTGCCGCGTCTGCTAGTAGCCCAACCTCACCAACATCTTTAACTACCGGAAGTCCGACCTCTCCAAATAGTATGACATCATTTACAACTGTAACGTCGCCAACTAGTGATACATCAGCTACGAGCGCTATTTCCGTCACAAGTCCGACATCTCCAGCAATACGTAAGTATTAAAATGTTCTAGATCAATGAGCTTAGGGAAGCAACTGCAATTGTGTATCCAAGGATGGCTCCAAAAACACTTAGCCTTGATCCGCTGCGTGCAATGTGTCCTTTTTTAGTTGGTCCACACTCTCTTGAAATATTCCTGGATCGGGATTTGAGAACCATAGGAGTCGGAGGATGGGGGGTGGGGGGGAGTATTCCTAACCGGAGTTCAGAGTTTCAGAAAATCACAAAATTCTGATTTTGATTCAAGGTGGCTAGTTCTCAAAATGAAACTGCAGTTCCAAAAAATTGGTGCCGCTAGGCGTTATCTACCTTTATTTTTCGAGGTACGGTTATTATAATATCGAGGCTGTGACTGGGGCCTTTACCATCAGCTGATCCATTGTTTTGCCCGCTGCGGAATTTTATTATAAACTGCCTGCAATTCGCATTTTGCTCTTATCTTGACCGATAATATATGACCCCTCCACAAAAATCCCCCGTCACAGCCAAATTATTATTTTGTTTATAAACCGATTTCGATTCAGATTGTTGTGGTATTACATGTTTAATTTCACTTGAGTGGCGTATATACGATGAATATTTATTAGGTGTGATGATGAATAATACACTATGAGTCTACTATGAGATCAGTCAATGTATATATTTTAGTTCTTAGTGAATTTCACTGATTGTTGATCGGACGCTGTCTGGTAGAGTTATGTAGGTTTATTTTTCGCGCGCTGACGCCGTATTTTTCGGGCAAAAATGGTACAATAAACCCCCCTACCCCGATCCAAGGGAAATCGGCCCGTATGCCTTTTTAGAAAAAAGTATATCTTTTAGAAAAAAGTATATCTTTTAGAAAAAAAAGTATGAAATGCAGTGGGGTTTAATGTCCTACTGTTGTGATCCGACTGGGCTAATGAAGACGGGCATAAGCCATACCAATGTGTACACGACACCTCGGATTTGTGTCCCACTTTTTTAGACAAAAAAGTATAACTTTTAGACAAAAAAGTATAACTTTTAGACAAAAAAGTATAACTTTTAGACAAAAAAGTATAACTTTTTAAAAAAAAACAACATTGTAATGTTTTTGTTTTGTCTTTCAGCGTGTCAGACGTCATGTCCGAATTTATCAACCGGGTATTTCGCATCATGCAGTAGTTGTTCTAGTTATTTCTACTGTTTACTCGGTACCCAGCATAATATGTCGTGTCCAGGTAATCTGTATTTTAATCCAGCTTTATTGTTTTGTGATTACAAATATAATGTGCCTTGTCATCTTTAACACATAGAAAATGGAACTCGGCAGATGATAGTGATCGTGCAAGATTATCAACTCTTCAGCCGGGTAAAGTTCGGAAGATGCTCTCTTAATCGCGTGCCCTTTCAATATGAAATCTTGTACGCCTACATAGGCCTATTTCGCCAGAAAAATTAATGTTAACGAATTTTATATTGTATATAATACCCCTATGCTGGAAATGTGAATAAATTGTGGGTTTTTTTTACGCTTTTCTGCTAATCTAGTTAGACAAACTGTTGTTAGAGTACAAAACATTCCTAAGGAATGCTCTGGTTTGTACGAAAATGATATTATAATTATTATTACCTTATATAAGACATAGACCAGAGGGAAGAGGGGGGCATTGTCACCCGAGTGGGGGCAAAATCTGAGTTGACTTTTCTAGAGGCATTTTTCGTCAGGAATCCCGAATCTGGTAGGTAAAAAGCCAGGTGATGGGGCGTTTCCGAGATAATCGAGGTCAAAGGTCACGGAAGGCCAAAAAACGACAAAACCGCTTGGAATTGCGAATTGAACTAAATATTGGGTACAAATTCATTGATATCATACAGAAATCGGCGAAATCCTTAGAATATATGCATGGTATACTATAAGTCATGATTTGGATGACCTATATTGTCTTATTATTTGTTTATGTTTAGTGTACAAGAATGTACTGTCTTAATCCCCTATACAGCCATTACCCATCTGCCTGCATACGGTAACAGAGATATACACATCGTGTTCATTCTTTCAAATTTTGTTAATTCTTGTTTCAAAATATTATAATTCTTAACGATTTACTGGCTTAGTAATTGATGAATGGGAATTAGTGGATTAGCGTTTTTCACGATGAGTGTTTCAAATTGTGTAGTGCATTACAAGGGAATCGGACCTAGCTATGAAAACTCACTACCGCTGACACTGCATAAGTACAACCGATTACTTGAAGCGAAGGAGGCCCGTTTAC